CTCCTATCTAATGGCAGACGTGCCAGTATTATATAGAACCCTCGTTCCCATGGTCGCCATGGTCGAACAGTCGCCCATGGTCGACACGGTCGACCGTGTCGGCCATATCGCTGGTCACGTGATTCCAACCCAAGGAAATCCCTGGATCGCTTAGCTAGCCCAAACGATCCCTTATTTGCTATAAGTCTATAGATGTGCTTGACCTGTCAGGACGCCGCCTGGTCTTCACTTATCACGTGTGCACGTGATTCGTGACACCTCTACCTCTATAATCCATTTTCTAAGTATTAAGTTAAAGCTTTTACGCCTAGAAATCTTAGCTTAGTACTAGTTCTTTTATTATCTTTATAGGAGGTTTTACTACTTATATAGTAGGTTCTACTATTAATTAAATATAATATTACTCCTCTAGCCGCCTCTTATAGCCTTTATGTCACGAATCACGTGTTACCACGGGAGATAGTGAAGACCAGGCGGCGCCCTGACAGGTCGAGCATTATCATAACTCTTATAGCAGAAGGGGATCCTTAGGCTAGCTAAGCGATCCATGGATTTCGTCGGATTAAAGTACCACGTGACCATGATCGCTTCAGTCGCCTGAGTCGCCTGTCGACTGAAGCGACTGAGGCGAGCGACTAAAGCGATTAGACAGAGAACGAAGGTTCTATATAAGACTGGCACGTCTGCCATTTAGATAGGAGCTTCGTGCTCAACTTAGTTATCAATCTTATCATATTAGTTTGACATCTTTGATACAAGTAACGAGTTCACTTCCAAGTGAACAACCCGATAGTCTTCTTCTTATCATAGCATACCAACCAGCGAACACCCAGCCAAGTTTAGTTAGCCAGTTTGAGTATTCGTTACATAACTATAGCGGTAGTAAGTAGTAGAATTCTAGTAGAAAGGGCTATATTAGCAAATAAAAAAAATAGGTAGATTTTTATAACTTTTAGCTAGGTAATCGTTACCTATCTACCTATAATATATACGTATAAATATTACCTAGGTATAAGAGTATAATAGACTAAGGAGAAAGTAAGAATAGCTTTAAAGGTAAATACGTTTCTAGTAGATCTAATACGAATTCTAAAGCTTATATTACTTAAACTAGGCTTAATTAAGAAGTAAAAAGTAGGTTTTTTACTATTATTTTATAAATAAACTTCGAATAGTAGTAACGTATTTTAAATAAAACGGTTATATATCGCTCGGATATTATCTACTTTTAGTATAAACTTAATACTATTCTGTTGTGCTGGGTCTACTTTCTCTTTTGCTCCACTTCCTTATTTGATCCACTTATATTTCTGCTGCCTAAATGCTTCATGTCTGCCTAAACCTTACACTCTTTATATAAACACCTTAGATAGCTACCTTTTACAATACAATCAATTCTCCATGACCTTCAGTACCCAATACCCTTTCAACCCAATATATTCTTACTACTGTTTTTCGACGGCAAAACCTCTCTAATATCCTGCTATTCACAAAAATAAATAAAAGGCGCGAAAAAAATGACCCGGTTGACGAGGCGTGTCTTGGGAGTGGTTGGAGTTGCGGAGTACCGCCACCGGTACTGTACGTCTGTTACCCCACAATCGCCCCTGGCATGACTGACATGAACTTTAAAGGAGGCCACTAGAGTAGGTGGACTAACGAACGTCATACCGTGTATGATGTCGCTTAGGCACTTCTGGATGGTAAAGTAATCGTTGGAACTCCTGTAAATAAAAGATGGTTTGTTGCTCGCTCTTTGCTTTCGTTTGTGCTCGAATAGTTTTGTTGGAGAGTAAGTGTTCTGGTATAATGATACATAAAATTAAGAAGAATAGTAGTCTGGTATTTATCTGAAAGAAATTTCCTGAATCAACTTATGCAAGTGTACTTGCATATTTCAGTCAAGCGAATCAAGTAACGTGCGATAGTCAAAAAAATACCCGATATGATTCTTACCAATCACCGCTTGTGCAAAGTATACTCCCAGTGAAGACGAAAGTAAATCATTTATAAATTCATGATTTCATTGCTTTCTGTTTCCTCGTTAATCCATTACCCCTCCCAATTCTACATTAATAATATTACTATATATCTATCGTACTCTCTTTACCCTCTTTCATAATTATATTACTCCTCGAAAACCTTCCCAAACTCATAAGAAATATCTCCCAAACTCAACCGTCTGAGCGGCAAAACCTCCGGAATCGAAACCATGGTAGGAACCTGCTCCAGAGACGGCAACCTCTCAATCTCAAACTGCAAAGCCAACGGTTCAGCTGCTAACTCAAAACACGGCTTCTCAAAACATGGTCTCTCAACCAGCGACTGTTTTTCCTCGGGCTTCCCACCCTGTTTTTCAGACACGGATCTTTGCTGTTCTCTGTACCTGGATTTTGAATTCACGGCTTGGAAAAGAGGACTCCAAAATGGGACATGTCGCTCGCTATCCTTTTTCCAAGAATTTTCTCCGGCGATTTGGGGACGAGTGTCCCGCTATCGCTTTTGCTTCGTTCTATCGATAGAACCTCGATTTTATTGGTGCGATCTGAGAGTTGTCTCTCCTGTTCGATGCTCCGCTTGTACTCTCCAGGAACTTTGCACGCTTCGATGGTTCTGACGTGTTCTGATAGCTGAATCTCGGGTTCGATGCTGATGCGATATTTTTCGGGTTCGAGACTGAATCGATATGCGCCTGGCACTTTACAGTCGATTGTTCGTCTTCGAATAGGTTGCGTATTCATTCTGATGGGCTGCGAGTTTCTTCGCGTTCTTTGGTGTGTTAGTGGTGGGAGGGCTTGCGATGGTCGTCGGATCATGCATGGATTTGCGGATATGGATGATCGCCTCCGAAGATTGTCGATGTCCGCTATTGGGAGGAGTTGAGTCATTGAAGCTGTCCTGGAAGCATTCCACTCATGTGGTGGAGGAATGTTTGGTGGGCAGTATTTCAAGTCTGGACGGACGAGGACGTCGGGATATTCCACGGATCTGTTCGCCTGTTAACGGAGGTTCAGGGGTTCTCATATGTACCGCTTAACATACCTCATTGTCGAAGGTGGAGATCTTTTGTTATGATTGTTGATGGAAGAACTTGGGCTAACGACTCTTGCCCTCTTCTGATGTCTAGGCAATGAACCCTGAGAACTACGGTTGGAACTGACATGCGAACTGCGATTCGAACTCAGGTTGGAACTGCGATGCGAGCTGCGGTGAGAACTACGATCCGATACATCATACCCAGACGAGATATGCGATAGTCCAGATATCGCGGAGTCTGACTTTTTGAGACCTTTCTTCTCAGATGCCATCTCCGTATAGGTCCATCCATCGTTACCCCAGCTGCGAGTAGCCGAGGATCTCTTCGCCACTGGTAAAAGGGGTGATATCGGACGCTCGGGTACTTCTTCAACTGTTGGTAATGAACCACCTCTCTTTGAATTTCCTTTTAAATCGGGTTTTGTATCAACAGCTCTTCTATTCTCTTCGTCCAAGACTTCGATCGAGCAGGCGCGAGAGGATCCATATTCGGAAATCCCTGCGATGGAAATCACTCTTTGATGAGTAGGCTTGAAGATATGGAATATATCAGGAATTCGAAAAGGATACTGACAAGCTTCGAGTGCTGTCAAGAGTATTCCTATCGCTAAGCTACGATTGTTAGCCTCTGTTATCCTTTGGTAAATACGCTGACACTTACAATGCGCAATTCGAAACAATCACCGCAATGATCGAGGGCGTGCAATCTTCGTACTCGGCCGTACAAGTCTTTTCTCTCGACAACGCAACACTCGAAATTGTAATCGCAATCATCCACATCACCAAAGCTATCCTTGCAATCACAAAACAATACCCGTGGACCCTCACCACAGGTGGTCTCACAACTCCCACAGGCTCATTCTGGAACATTGCGAGAGATGTGGCAACAAGTATAAAATCGAGCACGAAGACTAGACACCTTATCAGCTTCTTGATCGTAAAATTTCTTTGAGAATTTGAAACTTACAGCCGCCAAAATAGAAGCTTGGGCAGCTCCCACACTCATCGAATGTTGATCCATGGAACGAAAACATACCGCGGCGACCGTGGCACCGCTTATAGATGAAGCTGCCAGCAGAATCACTGTCGCAAGCACCAGTCCTGGAGTCAAGAGTTTGGCAGTTCGTGTTGGTATTGTTGGACCATCCGAGGCGAGTGATTGTTTTTCGGAATAGTCTTCTACCCCCATGGTGAAAAGATTTCTAGAAAATGACGATAAAAAGTCTAGGAGAAGGATGGCGTCTTTTGCTTGATGAAAAGGTATCGGGCGTCTGGCAAAGATCGCTCTCGTGTCGGGAATCGAGTATCAGAGCTTTCAGCTTATCCAATTCTAAAAGTCGTGCCTTCAAAAGTTTGGCAAACAAACCCAAACAAAATTCTATGATGCGCCTACCACCAGGGTAAGAAAAGAACACAATTTCGCCTCTTCGGCAAAGAAAAAGGGAGTAGTTGAAGGGAGGACGAAGGAAGGATCGTGAGAAGAATGGTGAAGAATGAATTGATTGAACAGAGCACAGAAAAAAAGAAAATCCGGATAACAATATGGAAATGGGAAATTCGGAAGGTTGGTACGGCTTGCCTTGTCCATGAATTTGTGATAAGATAAACATTCTTCCTTGTGGCTTGCCAGGTTGCGAGGTGGTTGCGATGTGGAGGTGGCTTACATTCCTCGATGTGGCCCCGTTGCGTAATGACTTCGTGTGGTTGAGATGAGGCGCGAGGATGTAGGTCTTATTGTACCCCGCCTTTTTATTGTTACTTCTGAAACATTGGATTGTGGCAGGACTTGTTGGCTGTATATACAGTACGTTTGATGTCCACCGCTCACGGGAAATTTCCCTAGCCACTGAAAGTTATGTCCGATTCCTTTCGTTTCTCGCAATGGGCTTTTTCATGATGCGTAGAGTTGTTCAAGTCTTCTCATTTCCGGTATAAATACAATCGCGGAAGAGAAATTTTGGGACTTAGGGAGCCTGCGATACTGTATACCTACAGAGGGATTGGTTCAAAACGGCCAAAGCCATTGCCATTTCTCTATATACACCCTACGATATGATTGTGTCAGAATTCCTGGAACAAGCACCTCAATAAGAGTTGAAACATTCAATTATCTTAAACCTTTCGCATAACCAATGAGATTGTGTGAGTCGCCCAGAGAGAGGGTCCTTGTCTAGAGGTGCAGATTGTTTGTAGCTATTAATACTTCACCGCTTCAGACGATGAGGACCTCTGCATAATCTTCAAAGAAGTCATATTATAAAGCACCCATACATTTCTGACATGAGAAAACTAGGGTGGGTTAATTTCTACCATCCACATCCCCATGTTACCGGCAAGGAAAAGAAATTTTCGAATCGGCTATTTCAGGGGACATTTCCTCAATACTCCCTCCTCATTTCATTGGACAGTCTCACATATTACCTGCATCTCCCCGCACCCCGCATTTTTTATTTTCCTTCGCCGGGAAATTCTTGGGATTATTCCGTGAATAAAATCGTTTTGTTGTGGTACTAACCACTTTAGCTCTAACGATTGAGTAGCTGGACGTCGTCCCCGACACCATACCGTCAGTTGTCGAGCCTCAAATTTGAAAGTGGTGATTCGAGGCGCTTATGGCGTTGAGGATACTGACTAATATCTGTGCGGCTTCTTTGGGTTTCCAGCTGTATTGGTGGAATATTTCTGTCCTTCATGTATTGTGAAGTTGTTCGCTGGCAAGTGGAAATAGGTCTGCTTCGATGCTTATAGTCTCTTTACTTCACGTTGTGATGTTCAAGTGCAACCTTTTCCCACTTAATTTTGATCTTTTGGGTGTCAAAAACATCATTTCTTCTCACCGGGGGGCACATCAGGTTCATTTATACTCAGAACCAACGAACCGACGAACTTTGCTATCTATTCTTACAGTGTCTCATTTCGAATTCATCTGATTTACAACTCAAGTTCAAAATGACATTTAAATTCTCTTCTTTGCTGCCAATTGTTCTCATCTCGGCTCTTGCCACTTTCTGTGTCTCTGCGGAAAGGGAGCACAGTTATTCGGGACCGAGCTCAATTGACCAGTTCAGACACCATCATCCTTATCACCACCCCCCGCTAAACCATCGACCAAAGTTTTATATCCGAGCCTCAAGAAACGATACAGATGATGTCTCGGGAGAGTTCTATCGAGGCATGAAGAAAGCGAACCATGGGGGGACTCTGGTGTTACCAAAGAACCAAACCTTCGTTATTGGGAAGAAACTAGACCTCACATTTTTGAAGAATATCGAGGTACAGCTTGAGGGTGAAATAAAGGTACGTTTTTTCTTTAAGTCTTCTGGTTTATACTACTACTAATGTGGACTATTCTAACCATCCTTAGTTCACCAATAACATCACTTACTGGCAAAACGACTATTTTTATCATCCCTTCCAGAAAACCATTACTTTTTGGAAATGGGGAGGAGAAAATATCAAGATCTTCGGAAATGGGACACTTAATGGGAATGGCCAATCTTGGTATGATGGTTTTGCTGGTCTCGAGATTTTGGTACGTTCATATAGCAATCCCTCCTTACAACGTGGGGGTAGAGATTTGACGAACTCGTAGAATCCGAACAATACGTACCTACGCCCTGTTCTTTTCTACGCCGAAAATGCGACGGATTTGTACATTGAGGGAATAAGGTTTACTGGTTCGCCTTGTTGGACGAATTTTCTTGTTACTTGTAAGTCGATCGCGAAGTCCCCCCTTTTCACGCTCAAACTCTAAATCCAGTTTAGCGAAGAATGTGGTTTATGACAATGTCATTATTGAGAACCTTTCGACAAACAAGGTTCATAACTTCCTTTTGCAATTACTTTTTGCATGCCTCTAATTATCTTTCCCAGAATTTACCAAAGAATACTGATGGTTGGGATTCATATAATGTCGATGGCCTTACAGTCCGAAACTCATGGGTAAATATCGGCGACGACTGTTTCAGTCCCAAGCCAAACACTTCAAATATACTCGTGGAGAATATTTATTGCAATGTAAGTCGCCATCTCCATAGCCTTCTCTCAAATATCATTCCATGTTTCATTCCAGAAGCCAGACCCCGTTTCTTTCACATATATTTTCATATTAACGATAGCAGGGTACGCACGGAATAAGCATGGGTAGCATAGGCCAGTACGACGGAATTAAAGATTATATTTACAACGCTCACATCGAAAATGTTACCATGCTGAATGCACAAAATGGCGCCAGACTCAAGGGATGGGCCGGCCCAAATGTCGGGTATGGATTTATTCAAAACATTACGTTCAAGAACTTCTACAACTTCAATGTGGATTGGCCAATTGTGCTTGATGCTTGCTACTTTAATATCAACACGGTTAGTTCGTTTTCTATTTCAACTCCCTTGATCTTCCTTATGCTTCAAAAACCAAATCTTCAATATGAAACCAAGGACTGACTTGCTTAACAAGACAACGTGTGCACAATATCCGTCGCGAGTGGACATGATAGATATCACATTCTCCAACTTCACGGGCAGCAGCAGCGGTAAAAATGGTCGTAAAGTCGGAGAACTGGTCTGCTCGCCAAATGCAGTATGCTCCAATATCAAGCTTGATGGCATTGATCTCACGAGTCCGATGGGTAGTCCGCCTGTGATTGTTTGTGATGGGATACAAGGGGGGATTGGAGTTGATTGCTTGCCTGCGAACTCCACGTTGGCTGCAAGACACTTAAATAGGATTGGGTAGAAAGGCTCGATGTGAATGGAATGGCAAACATACTTAGGCGCATATCGAGTAATTTATTAATCCATCGATGCCCTCTCAAGAGAATATAAGATCAGCAATCAACAGCATAAACCTTCTGTCCCTCAAACCAAGTCTGTACAACTCTTGCTTCCAGTAAGTTCCCCGGACTCCATTCCATATCCAGAACCACAAAATCAGCTGTCTTTCCCACTTCCAAACTCCCTGTGTAAGCATCGGCAAAACAAGAATAAGCCGCCCCCTTCGTCGCAGCCGAGATTGCAGTAGCAAGAGATAGAATAGCAGCCTCGTTAACAACACTCTTATTCTCTAAATCGCGCGCAGATCTTCTCGTCGTAGCAGTGTACAAATTAACTAGCGGATCATGTGGTGCAGTAGGAGAATCTGACCCGAGAGCTAAGACAGCGCCCCCTTCATGGAACTCATTGTATGGGAATGCGCGAGAAGCTCGATGGTTTCCAATAAGTTTTGGCCAGGCTCCTAGAATGGCGGGATCGGAATGGACTGGCTGGATTGAGGCTGTGATACCGAGTTGACCCAGTCTTTTTGCGTCTGTGGGCGAGGCCATTTCGAGGTGTTCTATACGATGTCTTTTTCCAGGTTTGTAGACAGCCTCTAAAGTGTCGACTGCCATTTTGATCGCCCTGTCACCAATCGCATGAAGTGCGCATTGAAGATCCGAAGAATCCGCGTGCTTGACAATTCTTCGAAGCATATCTGGTGTCCATAGGGATTCTGGATCTTTACCGTTGCAATAGGGTTCTTGGAGAGCTGCTGTGCAGGCGTCAACTACACCATCACAGATTATCTTTATACCAGCGATGCGGCAATTTGGAGACGTCGTGAGATTATATTTCCGGTGGAGTTCTATAGCTCGGTCTACTTGGGAGATCATTTTCTCTTCGTTTGGACTTGGTTGAATTAGCCAATACGCAGCCAATCGGAAGGGCAAATCTTTCTGGATATACAGTCAGTTTACATCATTTGGAGGTTTATTGATGAGAAAGAACCCTTGAGCCCACTTACCCGAGACTGCAGAACCTGTAGAACTTCCCATACATTCTCATCCATAGCCATCTCGACCATTCCGGTACAACCAACAGCAGTATAAGCAGTTATCGCTTCTTCAATAGCCTCCAACTTTTGGTCCATTGAAGAGACATTCGCAAAATGAGGCCAAGCAAAGACCTGAGCAGCAGTCTCGCTCAACAATCCTGTAGTTTTCCCATTCTCATCTCTGTGAATTTTGCCACCAGCAGGATCCTCCTTGTCTTCGACGCCAAGCTCTTGCAATGCAGCACTATTGCACCATGTGAAATGAAGATCTTTCGAATCAATTAATATCGGCCTATCATCTAGATCATCAATCATACTAGCAAAGGCCTCTCCATTCGTCATAGAATGCATCCACCCTCGACAAAGAATTCTCGGGAGTGAGGGCTTGGTGACTGCATATGCCTTGATGGTTGCTCTTATGTCCTCCAAGCTTTTGCATTTTTCCAAACTTAACTGTTTAAGTGAGGATCCGAGGAGCATGAGATGCATATGGCCATCGATGAATCCTGGTAGAATGGTTCTTCCTAGCATATCTACCTCGTTGAAATTTCCTTTCTTCATTTTCTCAATAGTGGGATGACTCTCGTCTCCTACATATTGGATCAACCCATCTTGGACGATAATACATTTTGCAAAACTTTTGTCACTTCCGGTGAAGAATCGTCCGTTCCGGTAGATTGTTGCCATTATGAGAGATTTCTGATTGTTTTGTTGGGAAATTTATTAGGGAAAGGAAGGTAGGAAATTACAGTATGTCAAGAATAAGGTGAAAATGGCCGATTTAATCTATGATGTGATGTTTGAGGAGGTGTTTTTGTTTCAGATGAGTTCACTACCTACAAAGATTCAACTACTTGTAATTGGCCCCCAAATACTTTTTCTGATTTGATCGTGTTGACTTGTCACGTGACTAACCCCACTTCCTATGTATGGAAAGGGCGACACGGAGACATAAGGCACAGCAAGTATTTAAAGGCGTGTGTACTATAAAGTTGCTCAGATATCTTCCTCTGCTCCCTCATTCTTGCGCGAGCCGTTTGTATCTATCGCCAGCCATGTCGAGTTAATTTTCCCAAATGACTCAAGTTGATAAAGATATATTGATTTCAATTATCCTAAATCTCTCATGCAAGTATTTTAATTGTGCGGGGCTTGTAGGATAACATTGTTCTTGACTAGGTGTATTCAGAGTAATGACGGGCCCTCTTACCTATTATGCTTTCCAATTACTACCAAATACATTATTCATCCTACTAACAGTCTGGCAAAACCTCTGGCCAGGTACAAAAGCCAGACTAACTGAGTTTTTGATTGTTTCTCCAGTGCCAGCCTGTACCCATGTATCTTTACTTTAGGAAACAGCCTGTGGCGTGGCGCTTTTCAAATTATCCTAATGGAAATACATGCACTGAATGACTGGACCAGGTGAGCAGGTATGGGTTTTGGTGAGAAAGGGCAACTCATTTAGTTGTAGATGTTTTTGTCGCTTAACGTGCGACCAATAATATCACGATTGTGAGTATAGGCGCTATATACTCTGGGGTTTGGCGGGTGTCACCCTGCAATGTCTGCATCTCTTGGTATAGTAGAGCAAGCGGGAACTGAAGGTCACTGGCCCTTACGGTACGAGAAATATGTAAGGCAGTCCAGTTATTGTCGCAGGTTTCTTTATGATATATCATTGTTCTAATTGTTTTAATCAAATCAAATATCCAAAAGGAATTGAAGTATTAATGCCAAAAACACAAGACTAGCAACTTGTATTATCTGAAAGAAATAATGATAAGGTGTGATTCACTATTTGCCCTCACTTCATACGGAGCCGCTCTGATAAGACCAAACACGGATCTTCGCGCTCTCCAAGCTGGGTTTGAAATAGCAAACAAAATACTAAGCCTCGCTCACAAATATGGTGAAAACTCGTGAAGTCGACAAGAGGCATTGGTCCCACAATATAAATCATAGCAATATTTCGATGGCCTCTGCAGCTCGGAAGGACCGTATTAGAATAGTAAAAACATTTAATGGAAAGTGCAAGATATTTGATATACATAGAGCATATGCTATCTTGACCTTAGAAAAGAAACCGGAACAGCTTTCCCAAGCAATTCGGCATTCCATGAGAGCATTTTGGATGCCGAAAAGTAAATCTCAATTTTGTTTTTTATAGGAAAGACCTCTGATAAGAATGTGTAGGTGGTCCATTGGAAATATGGAGTCCCAATATAAAGACCAAGAGAAATTGACCGAGCACCAAACTCAAACCCTCTGGGAACTCGGTGGCAGAGATTCTCGTACACGTACGAAAATTGCGTACACAGGCCTAATTAGGTAGTTAAAAGTGGGGAACCCAGGGATACGACTAGGACAGAGGGTTGAAAGCCTCTCCGATTAACTTTTAAGAGAGTTTTAGTATAACCCGAGCTTTCCGTTAGCTATCTGTCTATATTAGAGGGCCTTTCCCCCTCCCTTTACCTCTGTAAACTACCTGTAAGTACTTAGTCGTTTTTACTTGTCCTTTCCCTCCCTACCTGTAAGTGTACTTAGTCGTTTTCACTTGTCCTTCTCCCTCCCTACCTGCAAGTACTTAGCCGTTTCTAACTGTCCCTCACTGTAAGTCTCTACTTCTATTATACCCCTATTACCGCCCCTTTCCCCCCCCTTCCCTATAAACAAGTAAACAAGTAAACATATAAACCTATAAACAAGTAGAGAACTGCGTCTTTAGTATAATATTTAAGGTTTTGCGTCCATCGTTGGTATACGAAAATATGCGCGCTTGGGCAACAATTCGAATTTTGCCCAATCTGCAACATCCGAAATCCTCAAAGTGTGCCTGAGCAGACGTTCATGGTGCCTATGAACCAAACGCACCAGACTTCGTGGCGGCAGCTTCAAACCCAGATCCTTCCACAAAGAGTACAGTCGCGTCCACAGCCTCAGAATTTCGTGCGCATTCCAACATGTTCGCATCCGGCGGCAGCACCAGAAATTACCACAAGCCAACTACTACTCTCATCACCAAGATTTGCTTGAACCAAACTGGCAATATCAATATCCGCAACTGCCACAGATGTCAGATTATTCAGGTGGGATACAGCATCATCTTTTTTGGTAGCAACAGCAGCATCAATCCCGGGAAATCCCATACCACCCATATGAAATGCGCTATGAATCTTTCCGACAGCAGCCGCAGTCAACTTCGCATGCTACGTATATACCGCCGAACCAACATGAGACCACCATCTCGTCTTACCAACAGTACCAAGTGGAAGTAGGAATTGGAGAAACATTGTATAATATTTGGTAAATGTTATAGGTTTACAAGAGCAATGGAGAAATCAAAATAGTCCACTATACTTTATTTCAGCTAAAGAATGTTAATTTGATACTAGGGTTCTATAAGAAACAAAAGAATTAATGTAAACAATTTAAAAATCTTTTTTGGGCGTTATTTAAATATTTGGCTGAATAACTTCGCTTAAATTCTGTATCGCTAATTGGGATAAAATCAAGAGAAGAAAATTCTCAAACCATACCTATCAAATACACAAGATTCTAAAAGTTCTATTTAGAAGATTTATATTATCCTACTATACAGACTGAGTCTAGATGCAGGAGCGTTTCCCTATTTTCAATTCCAAAATTTCGCTCATAGTAATACGTGCATGTTTGCGGGGATCGAACAGGTCACTGACAAGTCATGTATTGAACAATTGAAGATATCAGGAAGGGGGGTACGGGTGAAGGCACCCGTTGAGCATGGTGAGCAACGAGGTCATACGAAAAAACACGCCCAGCAAACTCCAACTTGCTGACACCTCGGACTTGGCTCAGCAGTAATTTCCCACGGACGAGACGAATTTTTGTGTTGAGCAACAGGACCAGAGATGCATGTGGAGCAAATTTTGGGGGGAAGAGGGGGCATTAATACCCTTGGTCACCCACGTCCAGATTTGGATGTTTAGCAGATTCTAACCGAGTGAAATCCTGAACCGGTTCTTGCATGGACAGGGGAGTCGTCTGGAGAATTCAGGAGCCAGGGTCGCCATTAATCTAATAGACATAGGCCACATCTTGTCGGTATCTACACCCCTGTGATCATGGAAGGCTGTGGTGGCTGAAAATATGTAGAGAAATCCATCCAATGATCCGCAAACTACGACAATGACCGCCGGTTAGTGTTCTCCCCCTGCCTGCCTTCCATCAGTGTGCATAAGCAAGCGTACCCTGGACGTAACGGCTTGAAGCCTGCAAGGAGCCTGGACGCTAGCGAGGAGGTGTACATGGGTTGTTGTAGACTGGGACTGGCTCGACTGGTAGTCGCCAAGCGAGCAGGCATAATTATCAGATGGTGGAGTCGTTGATCTGCCAGCCGCCAGTCTCTTTTTCATCCATTCCCATCCTCCTCCCGCTCGAGGAAAGGAGCCCCTGTCGTCTTCCTCAGAGGTGTGCATGGCTCGTAGCGGACAAAATAAGTGGCGGAAACGAAGGTAAATATAAAATCGTAGCCTAGACTTTCAGTAATATTTCACAACAACGCTTAATTAAAAATCCAAAAAGTCTTATCGGTTAACGTCTATCAGGCAATTCTGTTTATGTTTGTATTTTTTAAATATTTTTATAGCGCTGCTGTCCTATGCTATACATATCTTTAAAGTATACCTCTTTTCCAAAGGTAAGATCACGCAAGTTCCCGACAATTCTTCCGTTCAGCGCGAGCATGGGTCTCCCTAACTTCGTCTGGTCTTCTCCATCCAGCTCGAACTTCCTCTCAGGCCAAAGGCCAAACCAAAGCACGCCCAGTGGATACAGGGTAGAACCCCCGGTAAAGCTGACTTTTGTTTGGCCTGAGAGGAAGTATAAGTAAGTCTCTACCCCGCGCAGGATAGAGGAAAAATGATCCTCTAATATAGAATAACAAGGTCAAAAAGAGCGCTAGAAAGGTTGTCAAAAGGCCCCTTAGACAACCACTAACGCCACCACCACGTCCACGCCGCGACAGGCCTCTCGTACCATCTACTGAAGTGCTGGTTTGATACTTGGCACGTCCTGATTAGGTATAGCGGCGCCACGGCTCGCTTAAAGCCCAGTACCAAGCCTGGGCGCTGAGTGATTTACGGTCTAAGGGATATCATGAGGTATTAGATAACTGCCGGCTCCAAGTCTTCGAACGAACCTTTGCTAACACATTTATAGCTGCCAGCAGTTTAGAACAGAGTGAAAATCTTCGAAGATACGGCAGAGAAGGTAGCATGATAGAAACAGATGTTGGCATATTCGAGGAGGTGGAGAAAAATGTAGGATATATTGTAGCATCTGCAATCACAGTTATAACTGCTCGAGGGGAGTTCACAAGAAATCAAAGGTCTTTCTTGCTGCCGCTGAGAGATGTCAAAAGTTGATGTAATGCTTCATAGCTTTCATCGATTTCTTCAATGTCTTGGACTGCTTGTTACTCCATTGACCCCAGTGAGAAAATTGTAAACTAAACAAAAATGCTCGCAAATTTGGAAGCTCACTTGTGAAACCCCGTCAAAGACAATCAATAGGTTTATTTAGCACTTTATTTGTTGCTCGGAGTTCTCGAAGCTCGAGAATTATGCCACACTATCGCCAGAACCCATACGCGGTGATGATACTCCCAAGATCGATGAAAGAATTACTCCCAAGGCTAGGCGTGCTATCTGTCTGTGACTGAAATAGAGAATTGCAAAGACAGATTACTATAAGCTCGAAGAAAGAAAGAGAGCACTAGCCAGAACCAAGGAGAAAACTTTTCTCATGACTTCGTTGATATCCAATAATTAAGCGGTCCTTCCAGCATGTCCCATTCACTAATGGTGAGGTATATGGGTATTATTGGAAGAAGTGCAAAGTTCATCAGAATATCTTTCCAAAACGTCCATAACGTGCAAAATACGAGTACTTCAAAATGCAAAATACGGCGACGGACACGATGAAGGTAAGCAGTTCCAAAGAAGCCTGAACAAGACCAAACTTCCAGCCGTATTCCACGACGTGGCATGTAACTTCAAAGTCCAGAGGGGGAGATGAAATGCCACTTTTAAGATTATCGCAGGACCATTTCCTGAAAAGTTGTAAGCTTGTTGCCTGCATTTCATTTATCGTCATTGATGAACGTACCAGAGATCGCTTCGAAATTTGACTTGTTTTTTAAGGAGAAAGCAAGCGCGCATTGAAGTTGCAAAACCAACGGCGCTAATAATCGCAAATACGGCATTGACCACATCCGCACTTTGCTTAAACTGGATCCATCAAGTCAATAACGCTATCCACTTTTGAGCGATTTCGAAGTATATACCTTGCTTGAAAGGTAAAACAAAGACAAGATTGAGATACTAAAGAGAAAGTCCATTCCAGCAATACCCATGAAGACTCGGCATGGAAAGTCGGTAATTCCTAGAGGCGGTACTGGCACGGTGCCGAGTGGATTACCAGGCAACTTTCTCGCGTTTTCGTATCTTACAACGGCGGAAAGAATGAGAGAAAAGCTGATGATCATGATCATGATTGCGAGGACTCGGATGTAGATTTGGCTGTCGCGAAGGAATATGTAAACTGATTTTCTCTCCTTGCCAGGTCTCCGGGCTCCATCTGTATTGTGAGTTTCCTCCTCGTTGGCTTCTTCTTAATTCAAGGCGATATCGACGTTGCCTTGATGCTTTTCGTTTGCATGAGCAGGAGGTACTTGGACTTTGGTATCATTGGGTGAGCTAGTGTGATTGTATGATACATTGCGACCATACGCTGACGGGATGGGAACTGGCTCTGGTTCTGGCGGCGAGACTGGCGAAACGAGTGAAGTTTCTGTACGCGTCTTAGTTTCATGCGTACTGAATGTGAAGAGCTCTATACTCACGCGGAGAACTCTTACCAGCTTGTTTCGGCATCATTGCGTTGCTTGATCTGTTATCCTTGGTGGTTTGAACGAATGTGGAAGGTACTGGGAAGAGGCTAGAAGTTGAAAATTATCCTGAAAGATACTAACGGGGAAAAATAGAATTAGTGCGGTAGATAGACCGTCATCTTTTAAGAAGAGAATAGTGAATTGAAGTTGGCTTCCAGCCACTTGCTTTCATCATGATCCGATCAGTCCCGAGGGGATAAGCCAGATTATGTAGCTTCACCTCTAAGGCTCTTTCTCAAAGAACCATGCCTGGTTCCTTGGGCTAGCCGAGATTGGGGCACCATATTTATACTGTGGCTCTGCCTGCAGAATCTTGTATATTTAAATGGGTAAAATCATCTTTCAGCAAACCGCTGGCGATTTTACCGCATTTCTGCTGTGCTTCTAATTCAATGACCTGAAGTCATGGATGCTCGCATCAGAGCGTGACTTAATTGGGCAAACAATATGCAGGAGGGAGTGGATCGGTTGATAACCCAGGGATTTCGTGCAACCTGTAAATGTTGTAGAAGTGAGAATGACGGAAGTGAGAATCAAGAATAGAAACACGCACATGTGGGGAGGCGATGCTGGCGATGCTACTGTAGCTCACGGTTCCCAAGACGAACCGTGCACTTAAGGGATCGAATGCCCAGTTGAGTTAAGCTTTCCTCAACGAACTCCTTCAGCTGACACACAAATGCCAATGAACCACCTCACGATTGATTCCTATCATAAGGCGTGAATTAATCCTCTTCTCTATGCAATGAAATAACTTCGCCTCTTGATGGTACCCTATCAGGGGGATTCGAGGCTGTGTGCGGGGTAATTCGGAGTGCAGAACCGTTACCAACGGCCCAACGCAGGAAGCAGCATAGCTTGCTGCTGCCGAACTCGATTCTCTACTATTCTAGTAGCTTAGAGTTTCGAATTCGAACAAATCCGAGCGTTTGAGGTTTCACAGACCTCTATATCAACTATCATGGCCCTCCAATTGTCTGATGCCACTTTATCAGACGTTGATCAGATTGCGTCTCTCCATCTCGCTTCATTTGATTCTAATCCCCTACTCCATGTGCAGTTTCCGACCCCAGAAAGTCTTGCATCGCTTCATTCAGTTCTCATCCTGGACATGAAGCAAAGTATCGAAAGCGAAGTCCTATCAAAAAATAAGATTTTGGTGGTGAAAGATACCAAAAATCAGATTATAAGTTTTGCAAAATGGGATTTACCGGCTGTTCCGGAAGAATCCCATTTTAAACCAGAATGGCATCAGGATGTACAGCAGGAATACCTCAATCGCTACTATAATCTAGCGGAAGCTGCTAAGCAACGTGTTATTGGGAACACGCCTTGCTATCGTGAGGCACCCTCTCCCGTCTCTCCCTCTCTCTGTCTTTTGTCATTAATCTCACCCACGCTCCAGTCTCTTGCTCTCTTCTCTTACATTTATGGAATATAACCTAATCATGAACATGTGTAGGACTCACCTTTGTTGGCACACATCCAAACTCTCGAGGTCAAGGCGCTGCAACTCTATTAACTAAATGGGGACTATCAAGAGCAAAAGAAGAAAACATTCCAGTATATCTTGAGAGCACATTGCCTGCGTCCCCATTTTATCGAAAATTTGGTTTCGTTGCTCAAGATGGCTTGGCCCTGCCTCTTCCCAAAACAAAAGGCAATAGTTCAAAAACTTACTACGAAGAGATCTGTATGTTGAGGACCTGGGACGCTGATTCTGACGACGGACTACATTATTGGGACTCGAGTCTCAATATTTCAAGCCTTCAGTTGGATTACGAAGCTGGTATCAAGCCACAACAAGTTGTTGAGGCGGTTTATGAACGTATCGACGCGTACCAAATGATTCAGTCCTCTGTCTGGCTATATCTTCGACCTCTAGGTGATGCTATAAGGGCTGCAAACGAGCTTCTTACTCGATGGCCGGACCCAGACAAAAGACCACCTCTTTGGGGAGTACCATTTAGTGTTAAAGACAGTATTGATGTTGCCGGAATACCGACCACGAATTGTTGCCCAATTATGGCGAAAACCCCGGAATATTCGGCTCCAGTCTTTCAGCAATGTATTGATGCAGGAGGCATATTTATAGGAAAAACTGTTAGTTGAATACTCTTCTTTTGCACTATATCACATTCTGGCCTTCCTACCACCCCGTTTTTTCCACTTGCCCAAGGGGCCTTACACTGATGTTGAACTGGTAGAATATGGAACAACTCGCTACAGGAATGACAGGCTGTCGAAGTCCATTCGGAACTCTTCATTCAACATTCAGCAAATCCCACATAGTTGGTGGTTCTAGCAGCGGTAGCGCTGTTTCAGTGGGCCAGCAACTCGTTGGTTTTTCACTCGGTAGCGATACAGCAGGCTCAATCAGAATTCCAGCAGTATTTAATGGAATCGTAGGATTCAAACCAACTAAAGGAACAGTTTCTGCTTGTGGTGTATGTCCAGCATCTAAGCACCAAGACTGTGTCTCATTCCTTGCATCAACCGTTGAAGATTCAGAAACCATCTGGAAGACGTGTCGAGGCTTTGATAAAAACGATCATTTTGCCAAACGTATCCAGCAATCTTCCGGAAAGGAGTCGCTTCATAACTTCGCCGGTTTCCGTTTTGGGGTCCCACCTGACACTGCTCTTGAACAGTGTAGCGACCATTACCGGCGGAAATTCGCTGAAGTCGTCGAAGTGTTAAAAAGTACTCAGAACGGTGCATTTTCTGCTCTTGACTGGACCCCCTTCGCCAAAGCGAACGATCTTCTCTACAGCAGCTCCTTCGTGCTAGAACGACTCACCATTTTCCCAGACGATGAATGGTTCGGGGAGAATAAACAACATCTCCACCCAGTAACCAGACAGGTCTTTGAAGGAGTATTGGCTCGGAAAAGCACCGCTGTTGACGTCTTTCGAGATCTACATAAACAAGCAGAATACGTGCGAGCTGTTGAAGATATTCTCACGCTCCAAGCAGATGACACCACGAACGAGAAAGTTCTCACAGTCATGGTGGTTCCCACGGCGCCATTCCATCCAGCTATCGAACAGGTCAACAAAGACCCGCTTGCGATCAATGCCAAGTTAGGAGCTTTTGCTCATTTTGCAAATGTTCTTGATCTTGTTGGGATTGCACTTCCTTGTGGAACCTATGAAGTGCCTAGCGAGGAAGAAGGGGAGAGAAGTGTGACCCTACCTTTTGGTGTTACTATCTTGGCTGGCTCGGGGTGCGATCAAGCTTTGTTGAGACTTGCAATGAGCTTGGAGGAGTCACTTGGTGATTTGCATGATGATTAATTGGTACCGGTTCTCGCTTTTGCCACAAATACACACCACTTTGCGTAGACTCCACAGCAACAATTCCTAAACTTTTTGAAGTCTAAATATCGTCCGTATGAAGCAGGTTATGCTGTCATGATGGAGTTGTTGCAGGCTCTCGTTGTTCTATCTCGAGAACAATCAAAATCCAATACTCCAAAAATATATTTCTTAAATGCCTAACTTGACATCGACAATTACTCCAAGGCTCTGAAAGAAATCGCTTCAATTGCCGTAGAAAGTTAAGACGTTGATAGACACCAAGGATTTGTTTATTGCCATTTCATCACTACCACGAATTAGAATTTAATACGGAGGTTAGTAGCAATGAGCAGAACTCAATTTACAGGAGCTAAGTATTACATTAGCTTAACAGCACTGAGAAACACCAAAACCCTGCCCAGATATCACAACCTTAAGAAAGGGTCTCTTCACTGTAAACATGTCTTTACTATGTGCATGTATCTTCACTATCAGAACGTTCTCACTATATACACCTCCTCACTATATACACCTCCTCACTATATACACCTCCTCACTATATACACCTCCTCACTATATACACCTCCTTACTATATACACCTCCTCACTATATACACCTCCTCACTATATACACCTCCTCACTACATACATACCTTGACTATAATATAACATCTTTCTATTCCATATATCTATCTTCTCACAGAAATCTCACTTCCAAAGCCTTCTCACAAAGAAAGACTACCTCGCAACCATCCCTTCCCAACCCCTCAGCTAACAAAATCGTACAACCCTTTCCCCTATCCCGTTCCATCCAAACCCTCGCCGGTAACCTTCCAAAAAACCCCATCAAACAATCCCACAAAACACTTCTCATCATATAAAAAAGTACACAAATCCCCCCCTCGCCTCGCTAGTAAAATTTATTCAAAGCCAGCCTCCCAAAAACACAACAGACCTAACCCTTACGTCTCCTTTATTCACGACACCAAAAAACCCCTATTCTAGGACCAAGAATCCAAGGAGTTAACCAAGATATCCTTACATCGCACCGGGGATTTCCAAACACCAAGTACTTCATAATACCCGTCCCTATTCCTAGAGAATATATGGATAACTGATTATATTAATACCTATTAGCCCAAAGACATCTATAAACTGCTTATTTCTCCTATAAATACACCCCCTAATTCCAGGTTCAGTCTACCCAAGTCCACGGACCGATAATGAAACGGATTATAGAAGTACTATACGACCAAAATAATCTCCGGTCCCGGTCGATCTCGTTGCGAGTTTAATGGTTTTTAGCTCTATAAGTATACACTTACTTCTATAGAGTCTAGACAATATTACCCTGTTGAACCTAGTACGCGTAGAGTCTGAAAAGGCTTATCGTGTATAGTGGGTCTAGATTTGAATCTTTTTTATTTACGGTACAGGTATAATAGGATACGAGGAATACAAGGGCAAGGGTAGAACTTAAAGCTATTCAAAGCTTTACACGTAACCTCCTCCTTCGAGAATATTTCCAAGAGCTAAGTAGCTACCTAGGTACGAAGCTCTCGATCTTCTCGTTGTCAGAGTGGACTTGTATATCTCGAACGTCGGAAACGTACTAGAAGCCCTACTTTAGAATAGCGAGAGAGGTGGTTTCTTTCCTAACTTAGATTCTTTTATATATTCTTATCTGCATATCTATTTTTTTTACTATAATTTCACCTTCTACTATTTTTCCAACTCATCTACACACCACAATCCTACCCCCGCTCCCCCATCCACCAAAAAATACCCCCCTAACCCTCTTACAATCCTCTAAAAATCTCCCTACCTACCCATAACGACAATCCAGCCAAGCCCCCACTCCATTCCATCCTCCACGGAACGATCAACCCGATGGTACTCAATTATTCAAACCATATCCCTCTACCTTTCCTTCTATAACAAAGTACGTAAATAATGAAACGCATGCAGCGGCAACTAACAATTAAGCTTTTTTTCTGTTTTCGCTTCCTAGCCTCCACTCCTAGGTTAGGTTAGGTTGGGATGGCTCGTTGGTGGTACCGATACGGTATAGTATGTTACAGAAAAGACTAGGATGCGACTACAGAGTTGGAAATCTTTTTCGAGTGCGTTTCATGTTGATGGGATGGGATGGGATGTATGTATGTACCCCCACCTACGCGTGCTTTTTATATCGAACATCGAATGTCGAATATCGGATGTTGTGAGGTGTGTAGGTAGGATGATTGTGATGGGTAGAAGTTATGAATTTGTCGATATTAAGTTTTGGCGACTTAGAGGGCAGCTTTCCACGGGCCCTTACAGTAGGTAAAAAATTCCAAGTCTACGAAAAACCCAAGCACAATCCACCATCCACCATCCTCCCACCCCCATACAACGTTCGGCACTTGGAATAAAATTCCAAGGGATCCAAGATTCCATTCCAAGGTAGAATCTTCCAGAGGCTCTGAAATTCGGAACGGAAGATTCCAAGGATCTGGATTTAGAATTGGATTTGCAATTCCAAATGGAATACATATATTTCGAACTATACTAGGTAGCTTTTTAGCTACTAAGAGAGCTAGCTTGGTTTTAAAGTGAAATAATAATTAAAGTGAATTAGTTTAGTTAGTTACATGCTACTAGCTTATGTGTTCTGCTTAGTAGATACTAGCGTAGTGTAAATCTAGGTAAATATACGAATAGTTTCCAAATTACTATTCTTGGTTGTCCTAAGCTTCCGGTTAGTTAAGGGACTAGAACAACGTTATTAACTTATTAAACGTCATGCGACTTTCTATTTTGGAATTCTCCCTCTAGGAACTCGGTGGCAGAGATTCTCGTACACGTACGAAAATTTCGTACACAGGCCTAATTAGGTAGTTAAAAGTAGAGATCTAGGTACTATAAAGTAGACGTCTCTACTTTTCGGATTTTATACTTTACAATCCCCTAATAAGTAAAGATTAGTAATAAAAGATTAGTAATTAATCTACCTCTATTTATTACTTCTATAAATATAAAGTCCTTTTCTATTTCTCTACTCTAATGTAACGAATACTCAAACTGGCTAACTAAACTTGGCTGGGTGTTCGCTGGTTGGTATGCTATGATAAGAAGAAGACTATCGGGTTGTTCACTTGGAAGTGAACTCGTTACTTGTATCAAAGATGTCAAACTAATATGATAAGATTGATAACTAAGTTGAGCACGAAGCTCCTATCTAATGGCAGACATGACAGTCTTATATAGAACCTTCGTTCTCCAAATCCCAAATGTCGACAGCGCGCTCGTCGTGCTGTCGCGCTTTTATCACGTGACTATGAATGCTATGAAATCCTTGGATACTCAACAACCCTGAGTAACCACTGCTATGATATAACTACTCTGGATGTATCTGTCCTGTCAGAACGCCGTTTGGACTAACTCGTCACATGCTAACACGTGATTCGTGACATCTAATTACTAACTATACTTACGAAAGTATAAACAAAGTAAGTATAGTAAAGAACCTAAATACTAAAGAATCTATAATTTATATAAAAACTCTATAGATAAAGAAAGTATAATAGTCTTTATATTTAAACTAACTACTATTCTCTAAGAGAAAACAACTTTCTCTTCTTTATATTCTAACCTTTATCTATAAAATACTACCTTCTAGGACCTTAAGGTTCTAGGTTAATTTAAATCCTACTAATAATACTAAAGACAATATCTATATTAATTACTATTATTATACTTAATAGCCCTTTATAGCAATATAAGCTAAAATCCGGATAATAATAAGCGTAAACCCTTTTAATAAATACTACTATTCTTATCTTACTCTTATCTAAGTAGCGTTAGATAGTATACTTAACTATATAGCTAAAAGTTCCTTATAATACTTTTATATAACTTAACTATTATCTTAATTATATCTTTACTATCTTTATAACTCTTCTAATTTTATAATATCGTTCTATAAAATTAATTTTTTTTTAAAATTATTCTTTTAATCTAATTAAAATTCTTTATACTTATATTTTATATTTAATAAAAGGACTATATAGTTTATTAAGTCTACTTTTAATATTTTAGAGCCTAATAGATAAGGGGTATTCTATAGTAGAGGTAATTTTACTAGTAAAAGTAGCTTAGGTTAAATAAATATATTCTAGAGTACTTAGAATTATAACTTATATACTTTACTAAAGTAGTCTAAATTTAACCTCTTACTTTATATCTTTTATCTAAACCTTTATTACTAGAGATTAAAATATATAGCCTAGACTAATATCTTAAATATATTTAGCTAATAGTATTAGTAACGATTTTCTAATTCTTAATAGAATAATATACCTAAGTAAAGTAATAAGTACATGTTTAATAAGTAATTTAATAGTTGTTTAGGATTATTATTATAATATAAGAACTAATATATTCGAACCTATAAAATATAACTCTTCTTAATTTTAATAAGTTTAGCTTAAGTAATTATCTATAATATTACTATACTATAGATCTATATAAGTAGCTAGAAATATATTATATATATATTAATTATAAAATAGTAGCTAGTAGTATAGCTCTATTATAATAGAGAAAAGCCTCTTATTCTTTAGCCTTATATCTAGTATAGTAGTTATTAATAGGTCTAGGCCTTTTATTTTAACTAGTTAGAATAAGTAGATAGGCAATATATTGTATTTTCCCTAGCTATAACTATCTAACCTTTAGGATTATATATAAATATTTAATAGTAGGATTACCTTCTAATCTAGATTCTTTAGAACTATCTCCTTTATTATTTACTACTCTATCTTTATTTATATATTCTTACTTTAAAGTAAGAGTTCTTTAATAATAAAAGTAAGATAAAGAACCTTGTTAGCTCTAGTATTTCTTTTACTTCTAAGGTCTAATTTTACTTCTCTAAATTATATAAAGTCGTAGAATAATATTTAAAAGAAATATATATATATATAATTAATAGGAAAACTATCTATAAAGTATAAACTTTATAACTTTATAAGAATACTCTTTTTTTTTACTTCTAATTTCTTTCTAACTATAGACCTTAGAGGCCCTTTAAGGGTATCCTGTAGTTTAATATTCGGCTATATATCTCTCTAAAGGAAGTATTACTCTAATTATTCCTTTAAATATA